TTTCATGGTATTAATTTGCTATAGTACTATAAATATTTTTTTCAGGCCAACATTTAACGCTATTTGAAAAGCTAAGACCAGGTTTCTACACGATCTTCAAATGAACCCCTACCCTCAAAACGAACACACACACAGAGATACTTTCATATATATTCATCTTCTCGATATTTGGTGTTTTCAACCTCAACAGCACCTTATGCAATATTTAGCTAAACAGCCAGTTCAGAAGGATCCAGACAATTGCCGACAAGAGGGGGTGGACCAGTCAGCAGCACCTGCCACCTATGCGGTTCCATACAACCAAATAGTGGGATTCACTGTCACAGTTTTTACACTCTCATTGTTTGCACATTGCGGCTCGAACCTTAGACCTAATGATCCGCATTACGCAGCATGGCACACTAATCAATACACTTTCCTTGGTCTTGCATTTATTCATATACCTTGTATTGAAATCCACTACTGGATTCTCGAGATATATAACAATTACCTGCCAGAGATGAACTGAAACATTTTATCTAACAATATAATTTCTTTACGATTATATTATTATATTATTAGTATATGTTAATCTATACTATAAGTAGTGCTACTGGCATGTCACAATCATGGGAAAATCCCATAAGAGTGGTCACTGAACTTGTGTAAAAGGGTAGGACGAAGTTCGTCATATTGAAAAATAAAAAATAAACTGTAATGACCGTTCTTAACAAAACCAGTAGAAAACTACAATATAACTCGTATGTTGAACAAGAAAATGAAATGTTATCAACCTCGTGTTTCTTACAATCAAAAGTAAATGTATTTTTTCACGTTTTTTTTTATTACTATTTAATTTACAAACCTAAAAAAATATATATACGAGGCGAAAACTATTTTTAAACATAACTGAAGTTGTTTAAAGATGGAAAGCGAATGTTTACTATATTGTATGATGTAGGAATTTTTTTACCGCTCTGTGAAGGCTAAAAATGTTATAAATACACGAAACGAAAGGTTCTGAAGGATTAGGTAATTTTTAAATTACCGACACATTTTGAATGCAAATAATTTTACCGCTCTGTGAAGCCTAAAAATGTTATAAATACACGAAACGAAAGGTTCTGAAGGATTAGGCCATTTTTAAATTACCGACACATTTTGAATGCAAATAATTTTACCGCTCTGTGAAGCCTAAAAATGTTATAAATACACGAAACGAAAGGTTCTGAAGGATTAGGCCATTTTTAAATTACCGACACATTTTGAATGCAAATAATTTTTCTTTCAAGGTCAGTACGAAGTCGACAGCATCTGTTGTTTGTATAACTGCGTCTATTATTCATGTTGATAAAGTATTATTTTACGAAAATATTTTTCCAAAGTTTGTGAAACTATAGAGGGGAGAAAAAGCAAGTACTATTAATAACAAAGTTCTTTGTCTTACCATAATACAGATCTTTCTGGCCCGAAGCGTACATAATCTGTATACACAGCTAACACTAATCTGTAAGATATTAAACAGCACACCAATAGTTTGAACTGGTCGTCATATTTCCTAAGACTCTGTTAAAACGTCGCTGAAACCTTGACCCGCTGTTGAGACACGTTCTATTCAAACTCATTTCCCACCTCTCGTCCTCACGAGCGAAAACTGGGAGGAGTCATAGGAAGTAGGCCACATGACACTCTCGCGTTGAGTGCTTTGCGACGCAGGTCAAAGACTCTCTTATTAGACCTTATTAAGTCGCTGTCAAATATAGCAACAAACGAAGCAGTTGTGGCGGCAAGTTCTTGGAACGAACAAAAAAAAAGTGTTCTGTCAGTAAACCCACAGTAATAGAGAGGGAGATTGGGTCACATTTTAAATAAACCTTTCTGTGGAGGAACTACTGACTACCGTATAATTTAGGTATAATTTACATTGAAGGAACTAAGACATAATAAGACTGAATAAAAAAAATAATCGTTTGTTTCTTGTTTCTACACAATGGGCAATCTGTACTGTGCCCACCACGGGTATCGAAACCTGGATTCCAGCGTTGTAAGTCTTCAGACTTGCCACTGTGGGTGGGGGTGGGGGTGTAAGGGCTAAAAATAAAAAGAAGTGAGAACTCTGTTAATTCTCATTATCGTACAATACGGTTCTCGTGGTTTTTTTGTATTTTATCGTTAAAAAGTCAAGATTGTGAACGTTTCAAATCACTTCTACGGATGTCATTTATCCAGAACTTCACAAACACTTATCACCACACCTGATAACGGTTCAATAATAACATTCATATTGTTTTCTTACAAGTCTCTTATATTCAATCTCCTTTACATCCAAAGCTACTGTCGGTATTAACAATCGTGCTTTAAGAATGTACGCGTTTCAGTCTCCTTTACATCCAAAGCTACTGTCGGTGTTAACAATCGTGCTTTAAGAATGTACGCGTTGACTCATCTTCCTATTTCTCTACAATGCAAACTGAGCGACACAGACAGATCATATCGATCGATTAATCAATCAATACAGGAAAACAGATAGAGATAGCCAGATTTATCAGGATAGCGAGATAAGGTTCCACATCAGTATTTTAGCGATCAGTTACACAATCAATGTTCACGTATCAGTTCCTATGTACATGTGAATAGCTTTATCACAATTGGCCCAAAACCATTAAAACACATAAAATCTTGACTTCCACAAATAAATGTTGCTGTTATGCCCCCCCCCCCGAAAAAAGGGCGAAAAACATGTACATTTTGTAAAAGAACAGTTCTATCCAACTACCCGTGGCTTTAGCAGCAGGATATTCAAATCACTAAATCTACTAATACAACCCGCGCTACAACCCTACTTCCTCTCTCTTTTTTAACGAACGCTTATATTAGGTGCTTACACGTTATGTTAATTGACTACACAACTGTAAAAAACAAAATACAGACACACACACACACATATTATTTGTCTGGAATAGCGCGAGCTCCCGAGCAGGCATCAATTATTTTCGGTGTACTTAAAACCGACATTACCCGTGACACATTAGTACACAGTCATTTTCAAAACTTGCTAGTTCACCAAGTGATGGTAAAGATAATTCAAGTGAAAATAACAAGTTGGTGTTATAATTAATATAAACAATTTTGCTATTAATTCTTACCCTAATCCTAATTTTCAAGTGATTTAAATAAAATTTATAAATAATAACAATTCACTTAGTTAATTTAGTTCGTACCACAACCGCTGTTCATGCAATTGATGATATAAAATAGCGCCTGAACCACTACTACGTCTGTCGTATCCTAGCCGGCCTGTGACACCTGGTATTAGGCGAAAAGCTTCGGCAGAACTGGATATGAAAGATACAGCGTGGTTAAAATTTAATAACAGTTTTTTTTTTCACTCATACGTTCTTAAAATTAAAGTGTTTAGCAAATTAGAACAGCTTATGGCCAGGATCGCCCAGATTTGTTACAGTTTATTACAACAAGTAGCAGCACTTCAGAGACTGCTAATCAGACTCGAAAACGTTTTTTTTTCGAGACGACTACATTAATAAAAAAAAACGATATGAAAAAAAATGTCTTCAATACCATGTTAATCAATCACCGATTAATGTAAATAAATGACTTTTCTTACAACTTAGTAACAAACTTGCAAACTATTACAAACTTTCAAGCTATTTCAAACGATCTTAAGGTGGAAGGATAGGCTTAACTGATGAGGAAAGGTTTGTTTGTTTGTTTTGTTTGTTTTGAATTTCGCGCAAAGCTACACGAGGGCTATCTGCGCTAGCCGTCCCTAATTTAACAGTGTAAGACTAGAGG